TGCTAGATTCAGTGTTTGGGATATGATTGGTGGGACCAAGGTCAAAAGGTATTTGCAGGAAGCGATCTTCATTTTCACTTGGGATCTCCCCCTGAAGAGAGGTTTTTTGGAAGTAGGGTTAGTTTTCAAAGAAAGTGACATCAAGGCTGATCAATAGTTTCTTTGTGATTGGGTCATAGCATTTATACCCCTTTTGGGTAGGTGAGTAACCAATGAATACACACCTAAGTGCTCGGGGTTCAAGTTTGGTACAAAGATGCGAATGGATGTGGACAAAGGTGGTACATCCAAATAGTTTTAGAGGTAGGTCGGATGTGAGGCGATTGTTAGGAAAAAAATTTCGGAATTTGTGGAGAGAAGTGTCGAAATTGAGAGTGCGACTGGGCATTCTATTTATGAGGTAGGCAGATGTTAGAATAGCATCCCCCAAAAAGTGTTGTGCATATTTGTAGTGAACAGTAGGGCTCGAGCTACCTCAAGTAAGTGTCTATTTTTTCGTTCTGCTACCCCATTTTGTTGGGGAGTATCGACACAAGAACTCTGGTGAATTATTTTAGTTTCTTGGAGATAGGTTCTTAGTGTATTGTTGAAATACTCTGTGCCATTGTCAGTACGCAGAATTTGAATTTTAGTGTGAAATTGAGTTTGGACCATGGAGTGAAAATTTATGAACACGGAACGAACGTCAGTTTTTTCCTTTAGCACATAGACCCAACAGATACGAGTATGGTCGTCAATAAATGTGACGAACCACTTTGTGTGGATACGATTAGGGATTCGAGAAGGTCCCCATAGATCACTGTGTATTAAGGTGAACGGCCTGGATGGTTTGTACACGGACCTTTGGAATGAAGAACGATGATGCTTTGCAAGTTCACAAATGTCACACTTCATATAAAAAAGGTTTTATTCAAAAAAAGTGAAGGAAATACATGTCTTAGATATTGAAAATTGGGATGACCCATTCGATAATGCCATAAAAGAATCTCATTATTCTTAGGAACAGAAGCAGAATCACAACTAGCAAATCGACGCTGTTGACTCACATTAGTCTTGTTAAAATAGTAGAGTCCCTCAAACTCTTTAACACTGCCAATCGTCTTCCCCGATGATAGGTCCTGAAAGACACAGTAAGAAGAAAAAAATGAGCTGAGCAATTTGAACTCTTTGATAATTGACTGATGGACAATAAATTGCATGATAGATTGGGGACATGTAGCACATTTTCGAGTGTAATGAAATTAGAGATTCGAATACTCCCCTTTCCAGCGACGGGAAAGAGAGAGAGCCATCTGCAATTTTAACTTTAAGGTTGCCAGCACAAGGTGAGTATGACACAAAAAGGTGGTGGGAGTCCGTCGTATGATCGGACGCACCAAAATCGATAATCCACGATGGTTTAGAGAGCAAGGTGGTGTTAAAACCATATAGGATATTACCTCTGTGAGCCAAAGAACTTGAAGAGCTGGGTGGTTGAAAATTCAAGAACATTTGTTGAAGTTGTTCCAGCTGTGCAGAACTAAATGCATTGCTGGAAGTGGAATTTGGTGTTTCGGATGAATGGACTACAGCTTGGTAGATGGAATTTCTAGTGTTTTGTCGTGATTTCCAATCGGGTGGTTTTCTATGCAAATCCCAACACGTGTCCTCTTTGTGGCCCGATTTTGGACAATGGTCGACTTGTTTGTTGTTTTGGGCTGGGTCCAAATTTTTTTGTACTTCTAAGCATCTGAGCTCCCAAATCAGGCCCAAAGGGTTTAGGCCCATCATATAAATTTCTCCTAAACTTGGCAGTACCCCCTTTAGGCCCATATTCATTTGCTCCAGTAGGCCCACCAGAACCAGATAAAAGGGTCGATCCCTCCTGTTCTGGCCCAACACCTTCGATCTTCAACATTATCACCCGGCAATTCTCCTCGCGTCGGACATCAGCAAAGGCGTCGCGTGTGGAGAGAAGTGGCCGGCAGATGAGGATCCGCCCCCGACGTTGTCGAGTTCCCTGTCCAACCCAGCCAAAAACTCGTACAATCGCTTAGCCTCCACCCTCTTCTTATACCGAACGCCATCACTAGGGCAGTCCCACTGTTCATCCATACTTAGATCCAATTCTTGCCATAAAGATGACATCTCTATATAATACTCAGTCACATTCCGTTCTCCTTGCTTCGCCTTCAAAAGTTTCATTTTAATTTCAAAAATTTGTGAAGAGTCCTCCGTGTCGAAGTACATCTCTCAAGCACTGTCCTAAATATCTTTCGCGGTGGCCATGAAGAGGTGGATTTTGCTGATTGACGGCACTAAGGAGTTGACGAGCCATGACATAACAGTAGAGTTCTCAGATTTCCATTTTTGTAGAAGACCTGGGTTCGTGGGCTGCTTCACGTCGCCTGTCA